GACGGCCTCGATGTCGATACAGCACCGTTTCGTGTGCCATTCTTCGTAACGCAGCGGTTTGATAACGCAATGTTCTCGTTTACACGAATGTATACGTCCAGACAACATCAATGATAATTTACCAAAAATCAAAAACTAAAGGCTATGAAAATTAAACGCTGATTTTTTCTACGTGTTTCCAGTCAGAAATGGCACGTCGATCGACGTTGAAATCGTCATATTGACGTCGATTCGACATCGTTTCGACGTCGATCGACGTGTCATTTCTGACTGGGAACACGCAGAAACAATCGGCGTTTAACTCTCATAGCCTTTAGTTTTTGATTTTTGGAAAATTACTATTGATGTTGTCTGGATGATACGTTCGTGTAAACGGGAACATTGCGTTATCAAATCGCTGCGTTGCGAAGAAAGGCACGCACGTAATACTTGGAAGTGCTAACGAGTAACACGTCAGTAAATATTTCTCACGCTTCGCGCAGATTACGCGTAATATGTGCGTCAATTAAAGTAATCTCGCCGATCGCACCGCGCTCTAAAACGGACGATACGTTTTGGCATAAACTTTACAAAGAGTTATTATTCGTATCGCGCTTAATTTCATTGAAACGAGAAGCAGTGAGCGGCCGAGAGCTCGCCGGAGATTGGCATCGCGATTTTCGAGTGTGGGCGTGAAGTAGCGCTATGCAATTACGCGTGTAGCTGCTGGACACTGACGGGGCAGCGCAACCGTGTCTACAAATTAATGCAAAGATCGAAAACATATAGAGTGACAGGGTTATGTCATCCCGTAGGCGGCCGTTACGTTATCCGGCGAAAAATAAAAGCTTGACTAATGACGCCTCGCGTCGGTGTTTTTATCGCTGCTCCTCGAGCGGAGAAGAACCTTGCGAGTCAATCGATCATTTTTAGCGCGCAGTTAGATCATTATTGTGAAATCTGCGACGTTATATCTCGAGGAGAACAGAAGAGTAACGTCAATATGTCAAATCGACATTATTTTGACTTTTCCGTTCCTCTTGGGACTCGCCGCGAGAAATAACAAAGTTGAGCGGGATATTATCATTTTAGCGAATTATTTGGCGTATTGTCTCTTAGGCCGGTATTCATAGTCCGTTCTTATATTTAAGATCATCTGAAGTACACGCTTAATGCGTTTTTAACCAATCACAGAGCCGCATTAGCCTCTTAAGGGGATGCTGGAATGATTCTGCACAAACACGGAGAGAATATTCTTTTAACGTTTATCCTGAAAATCATGTAATCGTGTGAATGCACGGCGTTTCGAAGAACTTTATGAGAGTTTTCTTGAAATTTTACCATACATTTCACTAGTAATTATACATTTTGCTAGTAAAATGTACGGTAAAATTTCAAAAACTCTCATAAAGTTCTTCAAAATGCCACACTGTTCCACGATCACATGGCTTTCAGGATAGATTTTAGGAGAAAATAGAAACATTCTATTTTGCTTGATAAATCGCACATTATACATTGTACATTGTCGACAAATTTTATAAGCGTTTCGATTTGCTCATATAAAATGTAGTATACAACATTTCTAGACGCAAAGAGCGCATTGTAGATAAGGTTTCAAGCCAGCGGCACGCGATACTATTTTCCCTACTGGATTTCCTGCAAGAGCCCACAAGGATGCAGAGTTTGAGACCAGGCGACTTGAGGCTAAACCCTGATTGGCTCTCGTGAGCGATCCAGTGGGGAAAAATAGTATCGTGTGCCGTTGGCTTTAGCGTCTCGATTCGTAGATCCCTTGTACGGTGGCGGTCGCTTACAAAGCCGTGTTTCGCCATTACACAATACTTCATGAATGTACTCATGAATGACGTGACTCTTCGAGAGCCACGGAGTCGACGTGGAAATCGTCTATACCGTTCGGTAGGTTTTGCAATCCCAGGGCACGCTTCGGGAAGATAAACTCGTTCAGGTCCGGGCCTTATTCCCCGCGCACGGGCACGCGAATCTTTAGTCAAGGATAACCGTGTGTACGTTGCGTTTCCTCGCCAGCTTACAAACAGCGTTCGACTCGAGGAACTCGGGATGTTCAGCGTCTCGTAACTTATACCGCTACACGGCGCTCTCTCTCTCTCTCTCTCTCTTTCTTTCTCTCGCTCGCCTGAGCAAGTTCCCTCTCCTCACGTTGTACGCCGTATATAGGGATCTTACGTGCTGCGAGAAGGATCTCGCGTTCGTTTATTTTCGCGCGATTACGTAAATCTGATTGTTACAACGGAATCGAGGCGTTCGAGAGGCGCTAATGAAGACTTCGGGCCGAGACCGCGCTAAATGGGCTCGTAAACATCCTCGGATTCTCCTTTCGAAAGCGGACATAATTGCACGCGATTATTGCTCGGCTGTTCGAGAAATATCACGCGCGCTTTCTGCGTGATTTACAACGTCTCCATTCACGCCGGCCGATGTCGACGGAATCCATCGAAAGCGCTTTTCTCCTCGGTGCGTCAATATACTTTCGCTGTTATTCAAAACGCGCGGGGACAATTCTAATTACTTCGCCGTACTTTGGAAAAAGTATCGAACGTACCAGCCGGAGTGCGGCGACCTCGGCGTATTACAGTTCTTCCCGCCTGGTGTGGACGGACGTCTAGGTCGGAAATCAATCAATTAAACGATCCCGAGGTTGGCGCGTTGACGCTCTCGCCCAACGGCGATCGTATAATGAAAACGCTATTAGTCGCGGAAACGACGGATCGTTTCGCCGCGGATTTATAGAAACGTCTGCCTGTGATGTATGGCGAGAGGGTATTTCGCGCCCACGCGCGCGTATATCCGCGAGCGCGCGGCGGGCAATTTCATCTGCCGATCGAACGCCGCGTTTCACCGCGTTTCGCAAGCTACTTGTCGCCCGGCCGTCATCCGTCTTGCCGATAGGAAAGTCGTCTCTCCTCGAGTGAGTCGTTCTTAACACCACGCGAATCTGAGAAACGCGCGCACGCGTTGACGCGCGGTAATATATTACGTTACGGTAATAGAGACAGCCGCGCGAGGGTATCGATGTATCGGGGCCCGTCGAAGGACGCCCGTAGGTTTGTCCGTGAGCATCGCGCTGGGCGGCGATTTGTCTTCTCGCTCGTCCGCAGACGCCGATGAGCAATTCCCGCGTCAGCATTTCGGCATTGGCGGCGCGATTAACTCCGTATTCGTCGAGCTGCTGTCACGCTTGTTTCTCGAGAAGCGTCAAGCGTCAATTTTAATTTTAGCACAGTTACATAATTTATTATCGCTCATACACGGAGAGAAGTTTCTCGTAAATCCTGAAAAGCGCGCGATCACGGGACATTTGCCGGGACAACGTGGCATTTTGAAGAAATTTATGAGAGTTTTTTGACGGTTTACGACACATTTTACTGGTTAAGTGTACTCTCTACAAATCAATCGCTGGATTATCAGTGGAAGCAGTGAATAGTCACTGGTTTACAGTTATTTAAATTAGAAAAGAATAAAGAATTGATTAGTATATTCGAGTAAAGTTCTAAATATTAATAAAATTAGAATTGTAAAAAGACTTGAATTAACTGTAAATCGGTGACTATTCACTGTTTTCAGCGATGATTCACTGAAAAACTCATAAAATTGTTTAAAATGCGATTTTTAAGAAATTTATGAGAGTTTGTGAAAGTCTACTATACATAAATCTTTTTTCCGGGTGTTATCTTTTCTAATTCGTAAAACTAGAAAAAGATACACTCTAAAAATCAATCAGTGGATTATCAGTGGAAACAACGGATAGTCACTGGTTTACCGTTATTTAAATTAGAAAAGAATAAAGAATTAAATTATTATTTTCGAGTAAAGATCTAAATATTAATATAATTAGAATTGTAAAAAGACTTGAATTAACTGTATCTGTGACTATTCACTGTATCAGTGACTATTCACTGTTTTCAGCGATGATTCGCTGAAAAATTCATGAAATTGTTTGAAAAACCGCGTTGTCCCACGATCACATTACTTTCAGAATAAATTTTCAAAGAAAATTCTCTCGGTGCAGTTGTTATTATATTAATTTTATCGCAACGTGCACACGCGAACGTAATTGGAGGCATTACCGTGTCGTAACGAAAGAAATGTTTTTTCTCGCTGCGAGAAGACGTGGAGGCACCTAATTAATTATTGGTGCGTGAGCGTTGATTCTCACATGCCGCGGTGATACGTTTCCGCGGTAGCGGCGAACGCGGCGCTAACCCTGTTTGGAAGACTCGGCGTACACCTCGCAGAATCCAAAGCGATGTTATCTCGCTTGGTCGCGTGGTCTTCGTGAGCTGGTGGACGGTTCGTGCTCGATACCCGCTCAGTTCAGACTTCATTCTCTAATCGCTCAACTTGCTGCATTCCATTACGGCTCCCCCGTAGAATCGAAGCACGCGATAATGTAACAGCAATACGTGGACGTAATTGCCGGCGAGCGCCGCGTTCGCGTACACGCGGAACGTAGCTCGGAGTGAAAAATATAATTTTCAACCATGAGCATTTTCTAATTCGATCCTAACTCGTTGTCTACTTGCCTCCCTAATTCCAGCTCCGCTCTCGCGACCTCCAATTTCAATTTAATGTCCATCTCTCTCTCTCTCTAATTTTAACTCCGCCCGCCGGCCTTCAATTACACGTGAAGAGAGGTATTTTTCGAGACAGTCTCATCCCGGGCGTTGAATTTATAGCTTCAACGATAACAGCGGACAAGACACTTAAGAGAGCCCTTATTCAACGAGAAAGAAACTCCGCCGTTTCGCCGCGGCTCCTCCTCGGAGAAATCGTAAAGGATTCCCCGCGCGCATAAGTGCGCACTCATGTTCGTCCATATCTCGGGTGTCTTATTTTTTCTCTATTTTCTAAGAAGAGATTCATGTTGCGTCTTATCGTCGCGCTCTCGCTTTCGATTAGCTCTCCCTCGGCGCGTCGTCGCGGGCTTTTCGAAAGCGACCCCCGGTCTCCCGCGATAACGGCGGTTTCCTTCTGCTTCCCAGGCGGCACTCGAGGCGCCCGTATCCGCGCGACATCGTTCCTGAATAGCCTGGGAACTGTCGAAGAAAGTGAAGTGGGTCCTGGAGGAGGACCCGGGGCGAGCGAGGAAGGAAGCGCCGAGAGAGAGTCCGGCGTGCGGCGCCGGAAGCGCCGGCAGGAGCTGCCTCAGGATGTCGTACGCCAACCGATTCCCGTCCTCCCAGCACACCCGTTACCGCAGTAGCTGGGGACCGTCCTCGGTCTCCGTCTTCAATCGCGCCGACGTGCCGCGACCCTCGCCGGAAGAGGAAGAGTTCGAGTTCTACCACGAGCGGCTGCACTCGGCGCAGAGCCGCCAGCTGATACCGCTTCAGGAGGACCTGGCCGATTGGATCAACAAAACGATAAGTGAGTACGTCGTCTGTTACGCCGTCACGTGTCATTTTCAGCGACGTATCGATCGGCAAAGAGGAAAAAAGGGAGAAACTCGACGAACGAGTTTTCGGGAAACCGTGACCGTTTCGTGAGAAATTTCGATAACCGTTAGATATTACTTTCGCCAATCTGTGGGAAAGATCGATCGCCCGCGCGGATCTATAGCCCGCGGAGACCGAAGTTGGCATGACTCAGAGCGTCGGGCGTTCGCTACAGAACGCGAAATCGAGCGCTCCTCCCCCGAATTGCCTCCGCCAAATTAACAGTCTCGTGCTCGTAATTTTGTCGTCTCGATGTCGCGTCACGCGACCATGCATCGCGTGTTATCTTCGAAATGTCGTTTTCACATCAAGTTTGTCAAGAGCCCCCTCCCCCCCACCGTGAAAAGCGACCCTAGATATTTATTAATGTCGAGTGTCCCTGCGCGAAACGCTCCGAGAAATCGTGAAATAAATTTTCAAAGACTTTTTTCTCAGCGTGTACCCAGAAAAAAATAAAATGTTGGTTAAGGAAGGAAATGATTTCTTTTAAATTAAATAAAAGTGTACTTTCCAAAAATCAAGTATGCTATATAAAATTGCGTGGTATACTTATAACTGTAAATCAGTGACTATTCACTGTTTCCAGTGATAATTCATTGATTGACTTTCAGAGAGTAGACTTTTGTTTAATTTAAAAGAAATGATTTCTTTACCTTAACCAAAATTTTATTTGATCGAGACTGGAATCTCTAAGAGAACTGACATCTATTTCTTCAAATCTAGCAAATAGTCACTGATTTGCAGTTATAAGTATACTATTGAAATTGCGTGGTATACTTATAATTGCAAATCAGTGACTATTTGCTAGATTTGAAGAAATAGATTGTAACTGTAAATCAGTGACTATTCACTGTTTTCGGGGATGATTCACCGATTAACTTTTGGAGAGTAGTACGGTCGAAATTCAGAGAAAATTTGTTTGATTTAAATCAAACTTTTTTCTGGGTGTGCGCGTGGAAAGACGGACAAAAGTCTACAGAATAGTTGCGACACATTTTCTTTCTCTCTAAAAGTCAATCAGTGGATTATCAGTTTTCAGTGATAATCCACTGATTGATTTTTAGTGTTTTAATGAGTTTAGGAGCGTGCATTTAGATTTAGGGTTACGTTTCAAAATCTTCTTCTACGAGGAATATTTTACTCAACAACCATTCCGAAATCACGTTTGAACGTTTTCGATCTATTTCTCGGGTAAAATTTTCCCCAGAGAAAATGTTTTACGGAAACCTGAATCTAAATGCGTGTACCTAAAAAGTGTCGCAACCAAATTCTGTCCAGCACTGTACAATCAAGCGCGATACATAATTGTGTAAAAAAAATATTTCTCACGGTTTTTCTGGGTCGATCGAGCGCCGTGTAAGGCGCAAAAAGAAATCGACGTGGCGTAACAGCGCGTAATGATTCGACATTCGCGTCGACCACATTTTTTTTTCTCGCGTTCCATCGGCTCGCGCGCCCCGATGTGAGGGTCACCTTAAAGAACGACCGCGGCGGCGACGTGGCGTGCGCGTGCAAGCCTTACGCAGCTTTGACGCACAAAAGTTAGCATCTGGCGCCACGTGAGAAAGGGTATTCATAATAGTCCGCCTCACGCTCGGTCGCGTTTATATCGTCGGGCTGTCGTGCAAGAACGTGCGCGCCATATGCGCAAAATTTCGCGAGGCTCGCCCGAACGCCGCAAAAACGTTCAAGGATGGCGCCGTAATACGTTTATATTTCCGTCAAAAAAAGATTTCGCTACTTTACAAGCCTATTCGGCGCTTCCTACGGAGGGACTGCGAAACGAAGTCTGCGCGTCACGAGACCGTAAAGAGATAGGACGACCTCCGAAATAAGGAAGATCTGTATAGAAAGATCAATAAGCAATTGCTCCCGCGTCGTTGGCGCGCGGAATATAAAACGAAATATGCTGCGCGAACGGAACGAAGTATGCTGCATGAAGATCGTTATCGCATCGGTGCTAAATTTGGCAAGTACGAAGTAGGTGAAAGTTTGCGCAACTTATTAGATTACACGTGGAAGACTGCATTCCTTGAAACGAGTACACGAGGTTAATGCCGTAAGACTTTTCTTCCGAGTCTACCTCAGCGGACTATTAATCGGCAGTTAGCCGTTCGATTTTATCGATTTGCGCCATTTAAGACGAGCCTGAGATTTATCCATCGTTTGTTTTTGCCAACCGGGCAATTGAACTTAATTATTTGTGTCGGTAACACAATAACGTGACGCGTTAATTAATTATCAATTATCGGATGCTAAATTTGATCGCTAGAGCACATAGCTGGATCTTCCAAAAAATTGCCGCAAGGCTGTTGAGGCCTGTGTCCACGATGCTAGAACTTGGTCCAGGTTCTAGTTTCGAGAAATGTGTAGCCAATCAACTTGCAGCTATTCCGGAAAACGTGCAAGTTGATTGGCTACGCATTTCTCGGAATAAGAACTTGGACCAAATTCTAGTATCGTGGACGCAGGCCTTCAGGAAGTGCCTTACACCCAGAAAAAGTTAGTTTAGTTTAGATTAAACTAATGAGATACGTTGAAATGATATTTCTTCGAATCCTCTAAATTTTTATTTAAACACTTGCCATATCTGAAGAAATAAATTCTTTGAGATTCCAGCCTTTGAATAAAACTTTGGTTAAGGGATCATTTCTTTCGAATTAAATAAAAGTCTAGCAGGGTCAAAATTCAAACAAACTCTTTTCTGGGCGTAGAAACTTCTGCCAAATCTCTCTAAGGCAAGGGGAAAGAGAGGTGAGGCGACGAAAAGAGCGGTGGCCCGCGATTCTCTTCCCGCGAGGAACTTGGAAATCGACCGATGGCTATCTAATTCCAGGCGCGCGTACGTGTGACCGCCTTTCTGAACTGCTGGTTTCCTAATACGGTACGAATACGAGTTGATGCGTAAAATAGAACTGCCACGGTGTACCGAGCGTCGCAGAAAGTAGCAATTCCGACGCAGCTACGCGGTACTTGGCGTAACAAACATTCGCGACGCGGGCTTTTCGCTGCGCTGCCCATCTCCATTCTGACCTTGCGCTTTTAGCGATTCATCTCGAGAGAACCACTGTGCAATTTCCCGTCAAGATTGTCTCTCCGAGAAACTACCACTCTACAGATACTTCATTAATTCCCGTTGAATCGTAATTGGATCGCATGCTGGACGCGATATGATTGGGAGAAGAAAAAACGCCGCTAGCTCCTACCCGCATAATTCGATTCGCTCGCGATTGTCGCTTTGCCCATACTTTCACCTCTGATTGCACGTTTGCGACTACGTGGATGCGATTAAGCGCGCGCGTATCGATGACCAAGGAAAGTGCGGCCATAAAATACGCCCGGACGCGGAATGTGCGAAAACGAGTGCGTGGTCTCGCCGCGAGACCTCGAGGTATCCAGCCTCGCGATGTGGACCACCCTGAGAGATTGCGACACGAGGCGTACGCCGAGAAAAACGAGCGGTACGTAAACGTACATCGAGCGCGCACATACTATATATTTACTCGCGAGAGGCTAACGCGATGCACACGAGATATATATATATGATTTACGCGACTCGCCTAAATCATGTCGCTTAAAGGACATCGATTTTCGATGGACTGCCAGAGATACTAAATTCGCGGCGATAATAAATTAATGCCGCGATAGGGTTGCCGCGCAATGCTCGCGGTACCAACGATTTCAGCTCGTTGGAAGCGTCCGCGAGGGGGAAAACCGCTGAGGGCATTGTGGTGTACAGATTTGCGGTATTACTGCGCATTACTGGGCATTACTAGGCATTTTTTTGGGTATTAGTTTGGACATTAGGCCTTGCTGGCGCATTATAAAGATAAAATAAGATAATAAGATAAAGTAACGCCCACTGGGCCATTAGTGGGCATTGGTGTACAAGATTTTGTCAGCGGTCAGCGGTTTCCCCCTCGATTGGCCCAATACAATCAACTGTTGGACCAATGTTTAATCAATGTTCGGTTAAGCGCAGATTTCCCTTGGGAAAATATACCTTAGTGAACAATAAAGTTTTACTTTAGAAAAATAAGAGATATGAAAAGTAAGTTTGGACACTTTAAACTTTTATTTAAGGTAAATTACTTTAAGAATTGGGAAAAGTACGTGATATAATTTACAATACCGCGTGTGGTTTTCTTCTTACGAGAAATTGCTACGCCACGCGGCCCTCTAGCGGGAACTTCGACAGGCTTGGCTATCTAAATGTTACTTCAAGGGTCCAACTTTTTAACTTTTTTAAGTAAACTCTTAGATTTGAAAGATCACTTTTCAAAACTTTAATTTCATTTAAAGTAGATTTTCCTAAGGGTTAAGCTAACCGGGACTCCCGAATGGATAATGATAAATGGAAAAGGTTTCTTTTATTAACACACCCGTGTCCCCGGAACGTGAATATTAGCGGCGCTTAAAGCATACGAGACACATTGTTTTTTTTTCCCGAGGGGAGAAGCCGATCCTTCGCACATATCGTATGCACGTGACGTGTGCGCTGCAATTTTGCAAATTGCTTTCCTTTTCCCCGCTGTGTAATTTTCAAGTCGACTTTCTCTTTACTGGAGCATGAATTTATGAATTTGTGCGGACAAACCGCAACATTATCGATCATTTGTGTTTCAAACGTGCGTGAATAACTAAAAGCCTGCACGGAAGGATTTAAATCTTCTCGCTCCTCTGAATATCAATAAAGAAAATTTAATGCTCTTTGGCTGTTAAATAACTGATGTGACATATCGCATCGACAAAATGTGCATTCTAGTGTCATTTTGAGGGAGAGAGACTTTCAACGAGGCGTGAATAAATAGTGAAAGACGTTTAATGAGTTTCCAAAGACGGCGAGAAAGGTTGAAATTTTCGTCCGGCCGCTCCTAGCTGTCATAAATGTGTTTGCTCATCCGAGTGTGTTTGAGGAACAGATTTGCTCGCATAAAATACCGTCTAACGGAGATTAGGATTCTGAAGTGGGAACGCAGAAATCTTCTCCAGAAGATTCAATTCCTAACTAGTTCCTAAAGTCAGAAACGAATCTCAAAATTTGACTCGTATTACTCTTACGCTTCTCCACATATTTTCATAAGGATTTTGCGCGTACAGAGTTAGAAAAGAAAAATAGTAACTCAGTATAAGTTGCTTAGACAGCTGCGTCGCACGAGTTTCTCCTAAGAGGCTTACGCAAAATGAAGATACAGAGATGAGCGCCTCATTGATATTCAGAGGTTGCCAAAGCATCATCGGCGACGTGAAAAGAAAAAAAAAATAACGCGACGACGGCCTTTCGTTACCCACGCGCGCCCTGCGCCTCCTGCAGTTGCAAAGCCTCTGTGACTCAACCGGAAGTCGGCCGGGCACCCCTCTTCCTTCACGCCGCTTCTTCTCTTCTCCCTTCATCGCCGGGCACCCAAAGCCGCATTATGCATAATGGGCGTACGCCTTCCTAATACGCTTGCGCATCCGCGGGACACCATCGACTCGTGAGACAATACGGCGGTCTAAGGCGACGGGGATATCGCCTTGACACGCGCCGCGGACGGTTCGATCGGCCGTAAATCAGAAAGCGAAACCTTCGGATCGCCGCCGCGCTAATTTATCGTCGCCGATTTATTCTGCCCGATACAGGCACCGCAGAGGCGACTCGCGGACTCGAATGGATTTATCGTGGGATCCCTGGGTCGCGGGCTACGATATGCGGCCGTTTATAGAGGCGTGCTTCCGAGCGAAATCGTGATCGTGCTCCGGAGTCGCTTTTGCCACGCCGCCGTATTGCGTGGCGAGCGATACAAAAATCGTCCCGGCTCTGTAACACGAGCGAGCAGATAAGGCACAGATATACACGCTCGGCGTGTAACGAGGCAATAATCGAGACATTCACGAGCACAGGTCGAAAAGAAACTCCGAGCTATCGCCCTTAATCCCGCAGACGTCGCGCCATTTTTCGTAACGCCGACCCGTCTATTGGGTTCTCGACAGATCCCAGTGTAAAAAAGCAGTTTATAACTTTCGACATAGAGAATTCAAATATTCTCCCTAAAAATCAATCAGTGGATTATCACTGAAAACAGTGAATAGTCACTGATTTACAGTTGCAAGTATTATACCACTACGATTTTCAGTGGTATACCGACAACTGTAAATCAGTGACTACACTGAAAAAAATTTCTGGTTGAATATGGACGAATCAGATAATTCCTTTAGGATTTACCAGAATTCCTTTAGGATTTATCAGAATTCCTTTAGGATTTACCAGAATTCCTGTAATCCTACAGAAATTCTGGTAAATCCTAAAGGAATCCTAAAGGAATTATCTGATTCGTCCATATTCAACCAGAAATTTTTTTCAGTGTATTCACTGTTTTCAGTAATAATCCACTGATTGACTTTCAGAGAGTTTTCTTTGATATTAGATTTTCAAGTATATGCGGAGGAAAGTCCTCTTATGAGATAGCAGGTTTTTAACACCCAAATTCAAATCTTTTTTCGCAACGATTACATGATCTAACGATGAATGTTCCACTAGACGGATTTCGCTCCTTTCTAAAAGTCAATCAGTGGATCATCGCTGAAAACTGACTATTCGCCGTTTTCAGTGATAATTCACTGGTTAACTTTCAGAGAGTAGTATGGCTTCAAAGTGTATGAATGCATTGTTAGACTATTATTAATAAATACATCAGAATTATTTTAAAAACGAGGAGGGCCGAAAACGGTCAGTGCGGTATTATAACGAAACGGAGGCATCAAGGATCTGGCTTGAATACGGGTCACGGTGTATGGTAGCCGCGCGCGACGAGCCTCGGGTATTGAGCAATCGCGAGAGAACGAAGGGCGGATGTCAGTACCAACAGAGAGAAACCTGCGAGCGGCCACGCCGGCGTTTTACTTGGTACCGTTTTCTTCGACTGTTTCCAGCGCTTTACGGCCCATTTTCATTTTTGGAGCCATTCCGCTACACCCATTTTCAAGAACTGCCGATAAGGTCTCCACTTGGCGCGTATCCGTGCAACGCCCATTTTTTAAGAGTCTGTCTTGTCTTGTCTTGTCCTGTCCTCAATGTTGGTTAATTGACGGAGTCGCTTTTGCTCCTATGACGCATTGATCAGTTCCGATACACACGCGTGGCTGGTAACGCGGGACACGCCGCGCCGGCCGACACGCGGTGTGCCACGTGATAGATTTCGCGCGGACACCGGCGTTTAAAAGGCATTCTTTTCGTCGTGCCCCCGGTGCCAACCCCATTGTTGTTACCGGGTCGAGTCACGAGCTCGCGGGTTCTCATTACCATCCGTATCTGCGAGGCACTATCGCTGCGCCAGGGCCCAACCTAGTTCCTATTTCCCATCGTGGCCGCTCTATATCTATATAGAGGTGTCTACGGGATCGTGTCGCGACCCCGCGAGTTTTCCTCAGATCCGTTCATCGATCGGTTCTGGAAGAGAAACGACGGCACGTCGGGGATATTGACGGCTCGGGCCGTCTAATTCAGGCGTCTCTAAGTGGAGCGCGGATTCCATTCCGCGCTTTGTACTTGGCGTTTTTCAACGCGCGAATGAAATATGTCGCAATTTCGTCGCTATCAAAGACGTTACTGTAATCTGAGAGTATCCTGAGACATCCGTTTTAGTTTCATGTTCCTGCAGCTATGAAAATGGCGCGTTTCTCCGATTTATATACAGCCGGACACGCTCCACTTGGACAACTTCGACGGATAATAAAAGTAAATCGTGTGACGCGAGGAGGCGAGGAAGTGAAAATCGCGGAGGAGTTTTCCGACGGGAAAGAGGAGGACCTGCCCGCTCCTGCCCGCGTATCCGGTGAAATTGGATCGCCCCGGTGCCTATCGATGTCGCCGGCGCGATAAATATAATCGGATAATGATCGCAGTGCGCTACTACGTTCGTCCGTATCCTAAAACGGGAGATCTAACGGGTCGAGACAGGAGGCGGTAATAGATAACGGCCGACGGTGAGCGCAGATGCGCTCGCTCTATCATCTACCGTATGGCTGCATTCGCGCATGAATTGCTAAGGGATAATGAATACGGAAAAGAGACGGCGCGCGCAGACACGCGCAATAAATAACGTGTGCGCCCGGTAATAGATAGCGGCTAATGGCGAGCGTAGACTCGGATTAACGTGCACAATTAACATGCGTGTTAAGCTGAAGGAAGAGAATGGGAATAGAAGCGTCTCTTTGCGGGGAAAATTGCACAATTTGTCAAGGCAAGTAAGGGTACTTGTTAAGATCTGCAAAATTACGGATGTGAGAGATGTAAGTGATAGGGACGGCAATTAATGCTGGCCGATGGCGAGAGGAGACTTGGATTAACGCGCGCGATCAGCTTACACGCTCGAGTTGATCGAGGAGTAGTGGAGAGGGCGGGTTTTCCTCGCGGGAGTAGACTACTTGTAGACCGATTTGCCTGATTTGAGGGTAAACAGAGGAACGAGGAAGGCTCGTCGTCTCCGGAGAAAGTCGGAATTCATCAAATATTTATCAGGAAATCTCGCGAGCTCCCCTCTCGTTGGAATGGATATTGGAAAGTTTTATTATCCGGAAAAGTGGAGCGCGCGTCCTTGATCTATGCGCTTGGTACCTACGGCGGCGAACGAAAACTAAAGCGACTTTATAGTCACGCATGAGTCGACCTATCGTGAGAGTATCGCGACCTGGCCGTTTCTCGCTTGACCCGCCGTGTCCTCTACAGATCGACGGTCCCTGACGCGCGGCGGCTACCTTCAAAGTGCCGCCCTTTTTCCCTCCCCCTGAAAATGACGAGACGCGACGAGAGCCAAGATCGGAATCATCGCGGCACGGTGAATCAGCCCGTTCGACCTAAACCGATCTCATTGTCTTTCCAGCTGCCAATCTCGCGATCGGCCATTAAAACGCCGCCGTCCTTGAGCGTCGTCGCACGCTACTGATAAATGATTTACTGCACGATCACTCCCGGAGTAAATTTGTTTTCTTCAAACAGGCTACCTCGACCGACCAAACCGGCTCGTTGATCGACATTCGATACATGGACGGAATCACCGTTGCGTCTGGTACCCACTTACGGGGCGATTACTACAATCACGTTGTCGATCGATCGTATCGAATAGCTGCTTTCGCGGAGCCAAAGCTGCGCACGGAGTTTCAACTACCGGCGTGGCCCGAGCTTTACACACTTAATAAATTCACTCGCCGTTTCCGTTAATTGTACAATAAATTAATGATACGGTCAATTACTATTACTTGGGCGCGACATTGAGAGAAATCCGCGGATCGTAATTGATCAAGAGAATAGATAAGACACGGTATATAATAATTTAGCTCGCGACGGAGGCTGAATAAGCGCGTACTATGTTTTTCGTTGCAACGTACCACCTCATCAAGCCACTTGAGTGTCATTGAAAGATACTTGCAGCTTATGCCGAGGGACACTCGTGCGTGCGTGCGAATCACCGCCGGCGCGACGGTCGGGCTAATTTCGCAATCTTCGAATTTCAGATGTGGATTACATAACGGGTGACAATTTCTTCGATGTGCTGGACAATGGGGTGATTGTGTGTCGACTGGCAAGAGTTATCCAGGAAAAGGCGAGAACCGCGGTAGAGGCTGGACGGGCGAAGGGGGTAAGCATGTTACAAACCACTCTATATCTCTCGTCAGCCCGTTTCTACCGATGCAGATTAACTTTAACCTTGGTCTAAATTACTTGCCCACCCAGAAGAAAGTCTCTTCGAAATCGAACAATGTTTCTTTCAATGTTGACCCTGCTAGATCTTTGTCTAACTTCAAAGAAATTATTTCTTTAATGAAAATTTCATTTCATCGAGACTGCTCTCTAGAAATCAATCAGTGGATTATCACTGAAAACAGTGAATAGTCGCGGATTTGCAGTTATAAGTGCACCACTGAAAATCGAAGTGGTATACTTGTAACTGTAAATCAGTGACTATTCACCGTTTTCAGTAACAATTCACTGATTGATTTTTAGAGAGTGGAGTCTCCGAGAAAATTCACATCTATTTCTTCAAATCTAGCAAATGTTTTGGGTCCGGTTTCACCAATGTTGTTTAACTTTAGCTTAAGTCGTTCTCTGTCTCTTTTCAACTGTTACATTAAGAAGAGACAAACATGAATTAAACTAGGATTAAGCTTAAGCGACGTTTGGTGAAACCGGGCCTTAGTAGAAGTAAATAAAACTTTAGTAGATTCAAAGAAACATGATTTCGATGTTTCTATTTTGTTTAATATAAATAAATCTTTTTCCCGGGTGTTATCTTCTTCTACGTAGTTTTCTACCTAGAGTGTAAGGAGGTCCACGTTCAAACCTTGGCTGAGATAATATTTTTCGAATTAATTTTCTGTATTATTAAAAATGTCAGATATGGTTAAGAAAACACTGACGCTGTTAATTAATTATGCTGGCGACATTGAGGAATATTCTTATTAGTTACCTTTTTCTAATTCGTAAAACTAGGAAACGACGGTATAAAGTTGAATCGAGCATTAGATATAGTATTTTTTATATTCAACCGGGCGCATTTCTCGCGAACAATTGAGGAGTTCGGTGGAAAAACGACTTGAATCGATATAAGCTTTCATAAAAATTTTATTTTCTCAAGGTTTTCAAATTGAATATTTACGTATTTATTGACCAAACTATAAAACTCCAAGTGCACGTTTTCTAGATATCGATCGGTTGAATACGATTATAAAACGTTGAGTTTAGCTTTTACAGTATTTGGTAGAATAACTTGAGTGCACTTAAGTCGTTCTTCCACCGAACTTCTCAATTTTTCTCTTGAAATTATCTTATTGCACGCGATGACGTTTAATTGTCAAAATACACGATGCGTCGCCAAGCGAGGCTTGCGAAATGGGGGTAGCTTTTGCGTTGACGTAACGAAAGCCCGGAGATGGTCGCAGGCAGAAACTTGGAGAAACGTTGTTGCAGCCGGCGCCAACGATACGCGGACGTTGTTGGGAGAACGCGGCCCGTCGCAGCTTCTTCTCCCGCGACAACATGGAAAACTTCATACAATTCTGCCGGCGGCTGGGCGTCCACGAGAATCTTCTCTTCGAAAGCGACGATCTCGGTGAGTCCTGGTGGCGCAATTAATTTTAATGCATGCGAATTAAGGCACACGGGCGGGCTGCGCGCGTTCAACCTGCTCGCTCTATCGGACGACTTTCAACGGGATGAGATTTAAGTGCGCGCCCGATTAAGTTGACGAGCGGTGATTAGCGGAAACATAGTAATTGACTCGCGCAATCTCGCGGCGGACACGCGTGTAGGAACGTGCGCCGTATAAATTGCGCGATCCGGCGTAAAACGAGATATGCAAATCTCCGAGGAGGCCGGCCGGGGAGAGTGATCGCGCGCGCGCGCGCGAGGAAAGTGGAGCGAATCCCACGGCTCTTCGCGGATCGGCGGGACTTTCTCGCTTAATCAGCTTTAATTGCCGTCGAAAACAAACAATGCGATTACATAAATGACGTAACGGCGTAATCGAGCGTGGCGGGAAGGCCGCGTCCCGAGGAGAGCGCCTTGCCGTGCGGCGCTCGAACAACATCGGGGAATTTATGTACAAATGACGTCCCAGGGCGATGAAACAATACGCTCTGTCCCTATTGCGCAAGATGCACGTACAGCATCTTTTCACAGTTCTGCACGGCCAACCGCGGAATGTCGTGCTGTGTCTACTGGAAGTCGCGCGACTTGCGGCCAGATATTCCCTGGAGCCGCCCGGACTCGTGCAACTCGAGAGGGAAATCGCGGCGGAACAAGAGAGGGATCTTCACTGCATGTCCGACAGCGGTATATCCCACAGCAGCCTCTCCTGGCAATTCCAATCGCCGTCGCCGACCGCGACACCCAGGCCGCCGCCGGAGAAGATCAAACACAGCAGGTAAAGCTGATCTACAACGTGCTCTTTGCGCCTAGAGACATTGGCTCGTATTCCGAGCCCTCTTATCGACAAAAGACCATTCTCAGGATTCACGGGACATTCTGTTTTATACAGGGTGTCCCATTTTAACTTGGACAGCAAAATATCTCGAAAACTAAGTCCAGCAAACAAAACTTTGATGAGATATTTTACTGTCCAAGTTAAAATGGGACATCGTGTATAAGCAAATCAAAACGTTTAAAAAATTTGTCGACAGCACACGATTGTACGGTGTACAATTTTGCAACTTGTACAACTTCTTTAAATGCACCCTGGCGGAGGGTAAATTTTTCGCAATAAATTAAAAAGTTAAAATCACTTAGACACTAAGACTCCTGTCTTGGCTCTTATATCCTTTATTCCTTCGAATTGTGATTCCGCTTCGGAGCTTTATGAATTTTATTCTTTAAACTAATCAGAATATTCTTCAATGTCGCCAGCGGTAATTAACGACGTGTTTTCTTGACCATACCTGGCATTTTTAATAATACAGAAAATTCATTGCGAAAAATATTACCTCAGGCTGGGTTTGAACCTGGACCACCCTACATTCTAGGTGGGCGTCTGGTCAACGCCAGGTATGGCGAAGAAAATACTGACGTTGTTTATTCTTTACAGCCTGACCTGCAATATAGCCAATAAACGCGTTTAAAACATTTGTGCGAGTTGATAAATTGTATACATCGCACAATCGTGCATTGTCGACTTTTTTAAGCGTATCGATTCGCAGCTGTTAAAAATTGAATGGTTTTCGCTGCGAAAAACACATCGTAGATTGGACTTAAATGTATTTATCGGCTACAAAATGGAATGTTTCTATGCGCAAAGAGCACATTGTAGATGAGGTTTAAACGAGCCGTGATTTCTAAGGTCTTTAAAGAACGGGCACGCGTTCTCGCGAACCATTGTCCTCAGAGCTGCTCTACATCCATCGGCCATGCGTGACAATGTTTCTCAATGCGTTTATCTACAACGTAACGGTGGACCAGCGAGGATGCTGCGGGAGAGGAAACCGAAACTTAAACCGTTACGGAATGCATAAGTTATACGCTCGCATAATTTCTGTCTCGCTTACGCGCATCGCGCTCGAAACAGCGTCCGGAGCTCTAATATATTCCGGCTCGTTTACGACAGATTTCCCCATTGGGTTAACAGTCGTTGCGACTGAATGGGCAATTCTGCGTGGCGTTACCGAGAAGGAGACCTCGGGTCGCGCAACTCTAGGAGTGGCTGAATTTTATAATATATGCAAGGATGTGTGCGCTGAAAGGCGCTACATTGTGTTATTCTATAAATAGTCGGGCGTACCGTTCGCTCCGTTGAATGGTTTAGATAAGATTTATCTCGCCGACACCTCTCGATAAATCGCAAAAAGACACGCGGCTTCAGTTTAAGTTTCTGGAGAGCTCGACTCAGATCGCAACGTAATTCCAGTTCGGCGTCAGAAGTCACGACGGCGGGCACGCGATGGCTGGACCCGGTAACCGGCGCCGCGCACGAGGCTGAGATGCGAAGGTCCGTCAGCGACAATGGGCCGACCGGAAGTGACGGGGTGCCGAGCGATACCACCGAGGACGACTGGTCGCGCGGCAGCGTCGAAGACCCTGACGAGGTGCCGTCGCCGTCGAGCTCGCCGTCGCCGTCGCCGGCCGAACCGCCGGAGCACACTGGCCCGATAACAGAACTCGATCGCAAGGTACCGGAATGTCCCACTTTTGCTCGCGACGCGATCTCGGTGTAGCAGTGGTTTTTCGATACCCTGAAGCTTCGAACGCATTCTGCGAAAGTTCTCTGTGGCCGGTATTCACGCGTTACATGATTTTCAGGATAAATTTTAAGAAAACACGCTCTCCGTGCGTAACATACACAAAATTTACTATAAAATAAAAATGGGACACCCTGTATAATAGAAATAAAGGTTTAACGCAGAGCCAACATTTCGACTCGGGTAGTCAGATCTTATATTCAAGACCGTCTTGAATTTATCTAAAGATACTGTGCGGAGCATTTTATCGGCTATGGAGTATCTTATAAGACGGTCTTGAACATAAAGATGAATACCGGCCTAGATTCGACGGTATCGCCAGGAAATGGCTCTTGTCGTTGTGAACAATTTCCAACGGGATTCGCAGAAGCGTTTTCTTCCCCTCGGGAACGAAACTCCGGTGCTCGAGGATTAAAATAACACCGTGCAACGCAGAGGCGATGCCCCCCCTTTCCGCGTCGCTCGAAGAAATGCATATGCGGAAGATTGAATAATTTATAGCCTTCCTGTTAATGTTAACGTTAAGCCGCAACGATGCATTCTACGTACATGTTGTTTCTCAGTCGTACCTTCGCGTGTCGTCGAGGAAACCTTGGTCCTACGTGTTATTACCAGACGTCGCGCTTGCATTATAATCACGATCGCGTACGAGAGAGGGGAAAAAGGCGCGCGGGAAGGACGCGATGGGAATCGGCGTTTTCTCGTATACGCTTTCCGCGCACGTAGGTATCTGCACGCGCGTGTCGGATTCCCGCGTGCCCAGCGGCGGAAGCTACGCAGCGGCCCTTCGCTCCTCGCTGCGACGACACGTCGAAGCGATTTATCTCGCGTGACGGCCGATCGCTCTTCGTCGGCCCGACAATAACGCAGGCGGACGGGCCGGCGCGCAAAAAACCGCCCGGCTAAAAATACACCCCTTGTATCTCTCCGTTTCGAGCGCGCCTCCTCCCGACGTCTCCAGCATCGCGTGTACTTCTCTCTGTCCGCAGGTGCGAAGGGCCACCGAGGCCGTCCAGAGACTCTGCCAGTGCCCGTCGAGCAAGTGCTCCAAGCTGAAGGTGCGCAAAGTCGGCGAGGGTCGCTATCACATCGCGGGACGTAACGTCTTTATCAGAGTAAGTCGGACACTTTGTCACACGCAACTTGTACTTTTCTTAAGGCCTGTGTCCACGATGCTGGAACTTGGT